ATTTGGTTTGAACACCCTAAGAAATCAATTAAAAATTAGCCCCTTTCAAATAAATGTATTAAAGATTAAAAATATACTTTTGAATTTAAATGTGCTTCTGCATTGTATTCCCTATATTTATTTACATTTACAAGTCAGCGAAAAAGAATTTTTTCTACAAAGTTTAAATTATTCTGTAGCTCATTAAATAATGCAAAGCTCTCTGACATGTGAAACTGGTCTTATTTGTTGTTGAGTTAAAAACTCAGACACATAGTTAAGAGAGACAAACAAAAAATCATTTGTGCCCAAGCATCTGTTAGAGAAATGTTTTCCTCAGTGTAGAAAAATCCCTAGTATTATTACTTACCTAAAAAATCAATCATTTTTTTAATGAAGAAAGCATGGGCTGTGAACAGGAGAAACAAGAGAGTCCCCGTGTTGCAGGATTATTGGACATGTCAGGTTTCCCGTGTGCTGCACCTGAGTCACCATGCAGGAGGTTGGTCACCTTAGCCATTTAACCATTTTGCAAAGACACAGGTTAATTTAATTTTAAAAGAATACATTGTATATTTGATTTAAGTGATGAAACTGACATTCATATTTTACTGACCTTGGAGAATTTATACAGGTACTTTACAAATTCCAAAGTGGCATCCATTGATTTTTTTAAAAAGCTTAATGGAAGAGAATTTAAAGGCTTAATTATTTCAAATTATAAAAATCGTAATTGCCAACTGATTTTTATGAGGTTGGTGTTATAATTAGATTAGCTTAAGATTCAATCAGAAGGATAGGAGTGTCCTTTAACTACAGTACCTTTCTAGACATATAAGTAGTGATTATTCTTTACATAGACCAGAATATTTGGATCAATGAAGGATTAGTGACCATGGAGATGTAGCCAACAAGAGATAGAGCATTATAAATTTCACTCTTATTATTTAAGAGTTTCATTTGGACTTTATATTTATACCTGTAGCAATATAGCCCTGTGTAATAACATAATTAATTAATTCAGTAGCCCTGTGTAATAACATTAATTCAGTAGCCCTGTGTAATAACATAATTAAGAAACATAGCATATAACATTATATCAGCATCTGTATTGTAGGGAATTATAGTATAAAATTAGGAAATAATACATGATGTTAATCTCTATCTAAAAATACAGTGCATAGTATAATTGATGCTCTTCATTGTAATACTTGTGGTTTCATACTGGTATTTGCTCTGTTGTGCCTGGGACCTTGCACAAAATTTTCTTTCTGTCTGATATGAGTCCTCTTTCTATTTAGCTTCCTATTCTGGCTAGTTGACTAAGTCTTGAGGACTAAGCTTTATAATAACTTCCTCAACTCTTAATCCCTCCACATTGTCTTCTTCATCTGGTGTATCCAGTGGGCTGCACCAGTTCCCAGCACATGTGAGCTCTCCATGCATGCTTATTAAATAAATGAAAGGCAGAGTGCCTTTTCCTCCTATTTTTTCCCCATAGCAGCTCGGTTTACCTGCGCCAAGTAACTTTTGCTCTATATTCTAATCACTTGTGTATTTATTTTCTCAAAATGAATTTTTTTATGATAGGGCTTCGTTCTTGTTCAGCAGTTTGTCTCCATATAAACATAGCCTGCGGCACACTATAGATGCTTAATAAATAGGGTGGAATAAATAATGGGTGGGGTTTTGTGGGCCCCTTGGGTTCAGAAATGTCCTGGCCATCCATCTCGAGCTCCCTTCTTCTATGGGTTCTACATACTTCATGTGCTTCTTAAGAAGGTGCTCTCTGTGTTAGGGTTGTTGTTCAGTTTCATTTGAAAGAAGGTGGGGAGAAGGATCATTCTGGTGGAGGTAAGGATCTCATGAAAACGTCTTTGACTGAAATCAGTGCCTGAAGTCTTAGACGTTAAAGGTGTGTGAGGAAATGGACTCTCCATTCAAACGAAAGTCTGTATACATTTTGTCTAAGGATTAGTAAGGGGTGAATAAAAATTAGCTACTGATTGAAAGAAAAGAAACGCGGTACAGTGGAAAATGGCAAAAGACTCAGGAGGGTGTGGGCCTCGTCCTACTTCTGTCTCTAGGATAGTCCATCTCAATGAAAATGTTTCCTTAACTGCAGAATAACGAGGGGAGTGACAAGAGCCTTTGTCTCTAGCAGCCTTGTCAGATGTTTCTTTTTCGGAGTTTATGTCTTGTAATTCACATTTAAAACATTTTTATCTCAACTTTGGTTATATTTAGGTTCATGATAAGTAAAACCACATTTCAGGGAATACCTTTTTTTCCCTCCCCTTTTGTTTAAGGCATAGTTTCCATGTTTTCTGCCCTTTCCCTCCTTCACAGGCCCCGTCCACCTCCCTTTCACCCCCTTTCCTATCTTTGTTTCTCCAGGGAAATTGCATTTGGATATTTTTAATTCATTTCCAGGTGCTTACCAAAATATGAGGCTGTTAGAATGAGTTGTTATTTAAAATGACAATTATTTAAAACTATGGAAAGGACGGCCGATGTTGATAGCTTTGCTTTTTGGAAGATATTTTATCTCACTAGTTTCCCTGCAGGGGGAGGGAGGAGAGGTCAGCATTTGGGCAGGACCATGTTGGAAATGGGGAATCTGAGACAGACACATGAAATCCAGCCTCTTGCTTTGGGCAGTGTCTTCTGATCCTAACACGTAGAGATCCTGCCGCCTTGTTCTTGGCTTTGTCCCCTTGGCCTTGTACCATATCTGTAATCTGCGGGGTGTCTGCTTCCTCTGTATTTTCCACCTGCCATCTTGTACCCCATGCTCCTCCTCCTCAGTGCTCTTCCTCACCAATGCTGTCCCTGTCAGTGAGTTGTGAATGGCAGGTACAGCCATGCGTCGTGAGTCCTGGGTGGCCTTTGAAACAAACAGTGTTGTGTGAGTTGCTCTTTTTCTCTACGACAGAGTTGAAGAGGATCAGCCTGACACTGTGGGGAGAAGAAATCCTGAGAAAGAAGCCTTATAGGACACCTAGTGATTTAGTTACATGTGGTCATCGAGAAAGCCACCTGTTATCACCGGTGCTAGCATAAGAGTGCATGTGTCCAGACAAACCAGGGAAATAATTGCACTCCAGTTCTAGGGAAACCTAGCACCCTCTGCAGTGAGCACCTAGGGATGGGGCTGCAGTGTCTCACCGTTAGCACTCAGGTGTTCAGAGGCCCTCCATCCAGACCGCAGATGCGGGTCCCTCCAGAGAACGTCTGGAACAACTAGCCATTTGTCACCTCAGCCCCTTGCCCTTCCCAGCCAGGCACAGGGGAGGGATTATTAGGACAAAAGGACTGGCCTATCACTTAGCACAGTGTTTCCCAAAGTGTGGTACACGGAACCCCCAGAGGTATGGGAAGAGTTTGGTGGGAGTACGTGTCGCACCGGAGTTTGGTGGGGTTGTGCACTGCACCGTGCTTAGCTGCGCCTAATTCTATCTTCTCATGAGTACGAGGGGTGCTCAGAGTTACGAAAATTATAGAAGGGGTACACATATGTCAAAAGTTTGGGAAACACTGACTTAGCAGATCCAACTGCACAGCATTCCTCCTACACTAGTTTTCCTAATGAGGGGAGATAGTGTAGCAAGTTCAACCATAAAAAAAAAACAAAAAAACACCAGTTTATCTGAAGTAAGTTTCCAGCCATCTCTATATGCTTTGAGTTAAATTCCTCACAGATAAGGGGGTTTCTATGGATTTGACTTTTCTTTATAGTTTATCTTTTATTTTAAATAAGTATATCTTTCCTCTTTTACTATCTTATCCATTGAGTGTCCTACAAGCTTGGAGCATGTGGAAACATCTCAACTGCAGTATATTAATTTTTGTTGTGAAAACCATGATTTGGAAAAAAAAAAAAAAAGTATTACCATATGGAAGTTTACCATACCAGCACTTTACTTCTAGCTTAATTTTGTTTTGAAATGGGCATGCTTTTTAAAAAATCCCCTCAAAGTGCTTTATAGTATACTTTACATTTTTAACCAAAGTAATTTTTTTTATTTTATGTTTTAACGTTTTTATTTCCACAAGGTAAAAAGGGTTAGAGTGGGATCCAGTCTCAGAAATACCCTGCTTAGTGCCTTGATTTTGAACCCTTCACTCAGCACATCTCAGCATTCTTCAATTTATGTATTAAATAGCCCTGGGCATGTCTTTTCTCAAGTCATAGTGAAAAACTAATGAAATGAGATAATATATGTGAAAGTTCTTGAAAAGTTAACAAAGAGGGTCCTCAAAGAGTTGGGAACAAAAGTAAACTTATTCACACATATTTAGTTATTATTTAAACACATATGGTGTCCTAGAATTTATCGTTTCCCGGTATCTCAGCATTTATTTCCAAATGTCTCCCGCATGTAAGATAAAGAGATGATTTATCCAAACTAACAAGTTGTTTGACAATTTTGATCACCAGTGTTCGGATAAACTTGCGATATACATTTACTTATTTTAAATGTCAGTGATTTAAACTGCAGTGGTTACCAGCGTTCAATGAAGTGCTAGGAAAAGGCACAGGTAATGGAGAATTAATTAATAACATACAAGTAAGGGGCAAATGATTTATATAAACATTTGGAAAAGGCAGGTTAATGACCTGTACACTTTCCCTAAAATATTCTTAAGTCCATGTATTAGATCCCTAACCACCTTTCTAGAATACAGACTTAGTGACTTTTTTTTTCTTAATTTTATTGTAAGAGTACATTTGCAAAACATTTTATTCTACACATTTAGCATTCTGTCCTAAGATTTAGTTAGCTATTCTAGGTGGTTATATGTTTATGTGACCTAAAATTGCTGTTGCCTTGAAAAAAAAAATCTTTCACAATAAGAAGTTGCCCATCTGTTAATCTCACAAACATCAACAGAGCTGCTGGGGGGATAGTAAAGCTTTGGTGTTGCTCCTACATTTCACTCTCCTCCATGACTCTCTTCTTTCATTCTTCCTTCTCCCTCTCCTGACCTTGTCAACCTCTCTTCCTCTTTGCCTCTAGGGAGAAGCCCCCAGTGGAGGACAGTCATTGAAAAGCTACATGGAAGAAGTGAGTTTTAAGGTGGCCTGTAACACAGTCTGAAAGCAGTCTGTTACATAGGATGAAACCCTCCCGTGGGCTTTCTCCATCTGCCTGTAGGGTTTCCAGTCGAGGCCCAACAAAACAAGATCACAAATAATGGTATAAAAATGGCTTTTGGTCCTCATCGGTAGGGAGATACTGTGTAGCAATTCATCCTGAAAATGAAGGTATAAACTTAGTGCTATTATGTATTTTCACTCATAAACATTTGCTGATAGCCTAGTAAATGAAAAACATATTATTTTTATTGGACATGTCCAAAAAAATCACATATGATCATTGCTCTTATGATAAGAACAATCTATACCAACTGTCTTAACAATCTAAATGTGTAGATATTTGTGGAAAACCCATTTAGACTTCTGGTTTATTTGGAAGATATCAAAGGGTGCTCTGCATCACATGATGTGTCTTTGTGGAGTTTGCAAATGGAATTTGGGGACTTTCAGGTAAACCAGTGCATAGAATCCTTAAAACTTGATCTGAAACCAATCCACAGAGGTCTCTAAATTAGCTACCTGAATTTGTTTTAGGTGAAGGGAACTGGGAGACAATTTGGAGATGATGTCATGGAAGCACTAAGCATTTGGTTCTCAGCAAGACAATCTGTGTCTCTAAATAGTTTATTCTCCCATGTGCAAATCCATTCAAAAACAACTTTGATTGCCCTGCTAAATGTACTGTGTAGTCCAGTGATTCATTCAGAATACTGAACCCATACTTAAACTCCATTTTACTTCTTGGAAAGAAAAACCATAGTGTATAGCACCCCTTTAAGTATCTAATATTCTGAGTTTTCAAGCTTGTTTGGAAGTGGTTAGAATTTTGTGAAAGGTACATGGAAAAGGGGTAATGAAGAAAATAAAGGAAATAACCAGGCAGATGTTTTAAGTTCAGGTTAGAAAAATCAAAATATATGGAGCAAAACATTGGAGGGTTGGAGCACCAACTTTAAATTTCAACTTAATGAATTTGATATAAAAATTGAGTAGAATACATTAACCAATTCATGTTGCCAAGAAGAGGCAGACACTGCTTTCCACATGTTCACCAATAGAATCTTCCTTTAGGGTTCTGTTTGCTCAAGCTCTTGGCTCAGCATCCCACTTGCTGGCAGGGTGCCTTGTAATGTGTCCTGTATAGGTCTAGCCCTATGGAGGAAAGGGAGCATTGAAATGTTGATATGAAATGAGCTGCATATAGCTTATAGAACTTTTAAAGTGTCTAATACTAGTTTTGCAGTTCTAAAACAACAACAACAACAACAACAAATCCTTATTTTCCTTATCAGTACAGCTGAGCAATCTAAGTGCACATGTCATACACAATTGTAAATGCTTAATGCGGCATGAAGGGTGAGAATGTATACCTTCTCAGTGTGGTCCTCCGACTAGCAACATCATCATCACCTGAGGGCTTGTAAAAAATGCACAATCTCAGGACTTAACACCAGATCCAAAGAATCAAAATCTGCATTCCAACAATATCCCCATGTAATTCATAAACACCCTAAAGTTTGTGGGCATAGCCATAAAGGGTTCTTTCCAATGTTATTTCTAGAGAGGAACTTCATACAGCATGGGGGGGGTAATAAATTTTATATAATATAGGTAGAGTAACATTTTATTAATAAATTTATGAGTTTTGCTTATTCATCTACCCTGAGGAGTTGGTTGGTTCAGGGTATAAAACCTCAGTATCTTATGAGATTCATTACCGACTTTCAGTTTGAGTTTGCAAGTATGTGTGAACTGCCCAAGGTAAACCTTGCCTTCCTTAGGAGTTCAATTTCACATAGTATTTTTATCTAATGTTGGTTGATATTTAGCTTTTAGCTCTTTTTAAAATCAATAAATGATCATATTTTATAGTAAAACTAAGTTTGATCTTAATTAGTGAACTATTGACTTACTAAAAGTTCTTTTCAGACATTAATCCATTAGATCTTTAGGAAATATATACAAACTCTTCTTTATTGTGAACAAGTTAAAAATATGAGCCAAAAATGATAGTTTTTTTCTCTCATTCATACTCTTATTTAACTTTTTCCCCTCTTTCTTCATATTCCTAGAATCAGCAAACAATAAGGAGCAGTATATATAAATACACACACACACACACACACACACACACACACACACACACACACACACATATATATATGCTGAGTTAGCAAACATTTGCTTTTATTTAGTATACATTAAAACTCAAATAAACCATGGTGTTTACATTTTTAATATACTTAGCATTTCTTGCTAAAGTTTGAACAACTCTTTGCAGATCAAAGTCTCTGGTTTTCTTATTTATTTAGTCTTATAATTAAACAGAATCATAACCACATGAAGTTAGACAATTCTGTTTAGACCTAACTCAAAACTAAAGACACAATATGGTCTCCTCAAAAAAATAAAACTAAAATGGAATTTCTGGTCCATATTTTCTGATGTTTAATGCATAATTTTTTCAGGATAGAGTTTATATTTTTGATCATATAAAAAGCAAGGTATTTTGTAATAGTCTACTTTCTCTAATCTTCAAAATTGTTCTAACAATTTTTTTTTAATTACGCATTCTTTACTTACAAGGCTCTTAGTAACTCAAGGCAGAAATAATAATTTCACATTGTAAAAATTTTAGTGTTTGGAATCATAATATCAACATTCATCACACACACACACACTTTAAAATAACTAATTAAAATCAAGTGCTCCAAAGCTCATTATGCCTTTTGTAGAGAAAGTAGTTTTAAAAAATATATTTCTTTAGATGAATAACTGGCAGCAGCATAATATACTAGTTACAAATCCCCTACTTATTGGAGAAATATGTTAAGTATACATAAATCAGGTAAACATTGTGAAATTAAATGGTTGAGGTTCTCTGAAGAACTAAAGACTTAAGTTGATGATTTTTAAAGAACCACTCAGAGCAGTTCTTCACAACCTCAGGAAGCTATTTGGTCAAGGCCGGAGGCAGCATACACAGGAGTGGGAATCAGCTGCAGGTGTCAGGTGGCAGTTTCACAATCTCTCAGGGTGTTAGGAAGGAAAAGCCTGTTGAGTGGCAGACCTTTTTCAAATCAGTGGAAGTTGGTTTTACCAACTGTACCACCGATTCTATGCTACAAAATATAATACCTTAGAATCACTTCTGCCAATTCTGTCTGTCTTTTCCTCTGTTTTGTATTCTGTGATTGTTAACGCAAGGAAGTTCTACTTCCTTGGTTCTACTATATGACATTGTTCTATTATAATAAATAAGATATAATGGACTTTATCATGCATAGAGATTACTTTTTTAAAAATTAAAATAACTATTATTTAGTATCATAGTTTTATTCCACTTAGTAAACTAGGAAATTGAATTTTTTATGTATTTGGGTGCTCCCGTATTGGGTGCATATATATTTACCAGGGTTATTTCTTCTTGTTTGATTGCTCCCTTTAGTATTATGAAGTGGCCTTCATTATCTCTTGTTATGTCCTTCACTCTGAGATCTCATTTGTCAGATATGAGTATTGCTATCCCAGCTTTCTTTTCATTTCCATTTGCCTGGAAAACCTTTTTCCATCCCTTCACCCTCAGTCTGTGTGCATCTCTTTTTCTGAGGTGGGTTTCTTGTAGACAACAGATGTACGAGTCTTGTTTTCTTATCCAATCTGTTACCCTATGTCTTTTGATTGGAGCATTTAAACAATTTACATTTAATGTTATTAATGATAGGTACTCATTTGATGCCATTTTTATTCCATACCCCTGTGTTCCTTCTTCACTTCCTATTTCTTTATTTTTACAGTAGATCCTTTAGCATTTCTTGCATTGCTGGTTTGGTGGAGATAAATTCCTTTAGTCTTTTTTTGTCTGTGAAGCTCCTGATTTCCCCTTCAATTTTGATTGATAGTCTTGCTGGGTACAGTATTCTTGGATTCAGACCCTTTCTTTGCATGACTTTGTATATTTCATCCCATTCCCTTCTGGCCTGATAAGTTTCTTTTGAGAAATCAGTTGTTAGTCTGATGGGGTTCCTTTATATGTAACTTTCTGTCTCTCTCTGGCTGCTTTTAAGATTCTTACTTTGTCATTGGTGTTTGCCAATTTAATTATAATATGTCTTGGCGTCGGTCTTCTGGGATCCATTTTGCTTGGGACTCTGCGAGCATCTTGGATTTGTGTGGGTTTTTTCTTCTCTATCTCAGGAAAGTTTTCTGTCATTATTTCTTGAAATACGTTTTCCATGTCTACCTCGGTTTTCTTTCCTTCTGGAACCCCTATTATTCGAATATTGTTTTGTTTTGCATTGTCCCAAAGCTCCCGTAAGCTCTCCTCCTACTTTTTAATTTTTTTTTTCTAGAAGCTGCTCTAATTGGGTATTTTTTTCCATCTTGTCTTCTAGCTCACTGATGCGATCCTCTGCTTCTTCTAGTCTGCTCTTGATGCTTTCTATTGAGTTCTTCATAGTAGCGATGTCATTTTTCATTTCATCTTGAGTCATCTTCATTTCCTCTTGGTTTTTTTCATTTCCTCTTGGGTCTTACTCATATTGTCAAATTTGTCTTCCATTCTTTTTAGCCATCTTAAGATCGTTACTCTGAATTCTTGCTCAGGTAGGTTGCTTGCCTCTAACTCGTTTACTCCCTTTTCTGGTGATGCCTGCTTTTCTTTCATTTGTGGGCTGTTTCTTTGTTTCCCCATGGTCTCTCTTCAGGATGTCTCTCTCCTGTGTTGATTTATCTCTCCTTTCCGTGGATGATTGAAGATCTCCCTTGAATCCACGCATTTGCGCCAATTGGGGTGTCTCAGCTGCTCGATGGTCTCCTCTGTGGTGGTTTTTCCAGGCCTCCTGTTCCAGTCTTACCAGCATCTGTTTCCATTGACTTTTAGAGAGTGTAGGAAATTGAATTTTTTAAAAGGAAACTCTCACCTATTATTGATATTCATAAGAAATAATGCATGTAATTAAAGGATCA